AAGGAAGGAAGGAAGGAAGGAAGGAAGCCAGGCTAAAATGGGTTGTCTCCTAGTAGCTCACTTGGTGCCACTCTTATTCCTTGGGAAGATTAATTCTGGGGTCTTAAGATTTGGAGGTGTTGGAAGCAGATAAGGGCTTATGCCGGCTCTTGGGTTCCTGTCCAGGTTGGTCCTCCAGTCTCTGCAGGGCTGCACGGGAAGGGTCCTGTTTCAGACTGGTGTTTGGGCTGCACATGCAGATGAGAATCACAGCTGAAAAACTTTCTGCATTTCTTACACACTTGGGAATAAAACCAGCTGAGAACAAGTTGCTGTGGTTCCTCTTTTGTAAGAGAGGCTGTAGAGCACCTGCTGGCATGGGAATAACGGCACTTTATGGTTACATTGCTTTCCTAGGCCCTGTGTGGCCTCTTGTTCCATGGGACAGGTGGGCTTTAGGTAGAAAAGGCTGTTTGCGCTTCCCCTGCCTGGGCTAAGCTGGGAGCTGTGTGCTGCCCAATAAGGCCAAGCTGGAAAGGGGCTGTTCTCACCCACTGTGTGACCATCCCTGGTGCTTTGCTGGCTGGTGCGGGTGTAGCAGCAGCTTCTCTGCCCCAGGATTGCCCAGCATTGCTGCTTCAGGCCTCAGGAGGTTTCTTGCCCACAGTACACTCAGGAACCTTTTTGGGCTTGTTGCCAGAGGGCCAACAGCCCACTATTGTTCAAAGGGAAGATTAGAGGCTGTGTTTTGTGGTGGGGCAGATAGAGGCAACAGGGTTCAATGCTGGGCACAGCATGGCACAGGTTTCCTCCTGTTTGCCTTTTGGGGATTTTCAGTCCGGTCACAGCCTCTGCTGGGATCTTCCCTTTCCTGTAATTCCTGCACTTGGCAGGAATGCTGCCCTGATGCCATGGGGAGGGTTGTGGCCTCTCTTGGTTACACCTTGGTGCATGGGTAAGAAAGGCAGAACTGATGCCTCTGCTCCCTCCCTTGGAGAGTGCTCCCGGAGGAGGTTTGTGGGGCTGAAGGTGTTTCAGTGGGGTTCTGGGGCTCTCATGTATGGTCCTGCCATGGCTGCTGAGTCTTGAGCCTCCTCGCCCTGGCTAAGGGTGCCTGACCCTGAGTATATCACCACTGGGGTCACCGGATGCTGGCTAAGCTTTTCCAGGGTGGGGAGCAAAGGCTTTGACCCTGCTTGGTGCCTCTCTGGAGGGTGGTGGGTCCCAGGAGGACAGCCAGGGGAAGAAAGACCATCACTGATGCGAGGCTGGTCCCTGTGGGCTTGGGCGAGCAGCAGAATGAAACCTCCCTTGCTGGGTGAGGATGGTGCTGGTGGCTTGTTTTCTGCTCAGGACGCACTAGAGGTCTCTTCCTGATCAGGACACGGCTGTGGGGATGCCTGTAGGGAGCCCCAGCTCTGTCCTGGTGAGGTGAATTCCCATAGCCCAGGGACACCCCTTGTGCCTCCGGTGCCAGCACAAAGGCTCTGGGGACAAAGTGTTGTTTGGGGTTTTTATCTTTAAATTGAACAGGTTTTTCTCTCTTTCCAGTGTCCTCACTGAGTAACTCTGGAGCTACCAGCCCTTCCCTCCCCAGCGCTGTGCGATGCTCAGCACAGCCCCAGGGTGATGCAGGAGGTGACTGGCAGTGCTGTAACACCAGGGATTGCATCACCAGCATGGGACACACCGTGTGGCACAAGCCAGTCCCACGGCACCAAGAGGCGGTGAAGGGTTCTGGGGTGCACAGTGGGGCCAGCAGCACTTTGGTGACACTGACCCACTGGGCTGGTGGGTACAGTTCGGAGATGGTGCCAAGTGGAGGCCACCCGATGTACCTCCCCTGCCACAGCACGTGGCCATGGGCTCCTGCGCGTCTCCCAGGGGGAGTGTTTTTTTAAGCTGGCTTTTGGGGACAGTGTTTTTTGCTTCTTTCTCTCCTCCAAGCCTGGCAACTTTGGCAGGAGACAGTTCATCCCAGACAATCTCCAAAATGGCTCAGGAAGGAGCGATCTGGGCTCCCCCTCACCTGCTCCCGCAGCGTGACTTGTGGCCAAGGCTTTTCCATGTTGGCAACACGCATCAGCGGATGAGTCACAGGCAGTTGCCTCCCCTGCCTGCGGCCGTGCCCGGTTTCACTTTCCTTCTTGCACCCAGAACTTCCCATATACCGGAATTTCTTGTCTGAGGCATTCCAGTGGCTGTGCTGGGCTGTGTGCATTGAGGAGGGAGCTCCATCACTACCCCTCTCCCAGCACAGCACTGCCTGCAGGTGGGGCTGGGAACCACCAGGGCTGGAGCGATGTCTGCGGCAGATCCCCACCACCCTGCAGACCCCATAGGGCACAGCATGGTGTCCCCAGCTCGTGCTGGCTTTGGGATCCCTGTGCAGTCATGGCAGGAGCTGACACAAGCACCTCTGCGAGAGCCGTGCCCAATACAGCCAGGCTTTGGTGGTGGGGCTGGGACTGGGGTGTGCTGGAGCATGGCACTGCTGTGTGAGGTGTTTGCCGGGGTGCCGATGCCCAGCATAGCGAGACCGCGTCCCACTAGTGACAATCCCTCGCTGCTGCTCAGCTACATCTGGGGGCAAGTGGAACATGTGCATCCAAGCAAGGTGCCTAGGAGACCTTGATGAGGTACTGGCACAGGGTGCCCAGAGAAGCTGTGTCTGCCCACCCCTGACAGTGTTCAAGGCCAGGTTGGATGGGGATTAGCTATAATGTCCCTTCCAACCCAAACCGGTCTGTGATGGTACGATTCTATGATCTTTAGCCTTTCATCGCAGCCAGCCTGAGTGCTGGAACTGTGCTTGTGGCCCCAGTTTCACTGCTCAGCTTTCGCTTTTCCTTCATTCCTCTGGATCTCCTTGTGCCTGCATGAAGACATGAGGTTTTGTTTACTTCTCCAACCAGAAATGACGCTCGAGAGCTAAAAGCCACAGTGGTGGGAAAGAGAAGCCAAACTGGGTCCCACAAGGATGTGATGCTGCTCTGGGACTTGACGGGCGACCTGAGTATCCCCAGCCCTGTCCTTGGCAGGGGCCTGTGGCAGTGGTTTGTAGTGGGTCTGTGTGCATGCCAGGGCCGTCTTCCAGCCCTGCTCTGGGTCCTGAGGGTGCAGATGAGGCCATCCCAGCACAGCAGGCACTGGACATCACCTTGGTGTGGGACGTCACTCTCTGGGTGCTGTGGACCTTGCTCCAGTCCCACTGGTGGCTGCTGGAGATGCCAAAAGACCCCGGCCTGGCCCATACCTTGGTTTGGAGGAAGAAACACCCCACAGAAACTGCCCTATGATCTGGCTGGCCTCCACCATGTGAGACCCTGAGCCACCATCACTCTCCTGCTTCTCCACTGAGACCTGAAGAGTTCCAGGCAGGGCCTGGACCTGCTTCCTCCCCTTTCTCCCTGGGGCCACATTTATTTTTACATCCATTGGGATTTTCTGATGAGGTGCCACCTATTAGCCTAGAGAAGCTGTGGCTGCCCCATCCCTGGCAGTGTTCAAGGCCAGGTTGGACACAGGGGCTTGGGGCAACCTGGTCTTGTGGAATGTGTCCCTGCCCCCTGCAAAGGTTGGAACTGGATGAGCTTTAAGGTTCCTTCCAGCTCAAACCAGTCTGGGATTCCATCCCAGCTGAGCTGTACCTTACCTCGGTGACGGAGGTGATGGTTAATTTTGCTGTTTGGGCTTTTATTTCATAGTTGTATTGATTGTGAACTCATTGCAGTGAATAAATCTTAGTCTTATAAACCTGTTCATTTCTGGCGGGAGGCAGAGGTTGAAGACAGTGCCATGGTCTTGCTGACTGGAGGGCACTGAACCCTGGCTGGGGCTCAGGCTCTATAGCAGAAGAGGCTGGTGTGGGAGCCTGGTCCAGCAGCAATATGTCTGTGACATGCTGTGGAAGAAACCCTGATGGGAATGTCATGAAGCTCAGCAAGGAGAAAGACAAAGTCCAGGCTGTGCTGGTGACTGCCCACATTGAAAGCAGCTCGACAGGAAATGCCCTGGAGGTCCTGGTGGGTGCCAGGTTGAACATTGTATTGATTGTGAACTCATTGCAGTGAATAAATCTTAGTCTTATAAACCTGTTCATTTCTGGCGGAGAAGGACCATGAAGATACCTGTTCCAACCCGCTGCCATGGCAGGATGAGTTTTAAGGTTCTTTTCAACCTGACTTCCCAGCATCTCCCTCCTGGCATCCCCTACATCAGCCTGCAGAGGAAGCTAAAGCACTGCTGGCTCACATGCCAGGGACACCTTCCACTGCCTGTCTCCACCTCTCTGACCTGAGAAAATAAATTGAACAAAGTTCATGTCTGTTCATGGTCCTTCTCTGGGTCTCCCGACTGAGTTGCTTCCTTCAAAGGTCCATGCTCATCCTGACCTGCAGTTTCGTGGTTAAATCAATCAGGTATCTTCTGAGAGCCCCTGGGGTGGTCAAACCAGGAGCTTGCCCAGCCCGTGCCAGGACATGAGCATCGCATTAGGCTGTGTGTTCCTCCAGGCCTCATGTCCTGTTTCGCACCACCCAACACAGGTGGCCAGAGGGCTCCTGTCCCAAGGGCCACCACCACAGCATTCATCTGTCACCAGAGGCAACCCGGGGGGGCATTTGGGGTGTCTCCAGGCAGCTGGAGGTGAACATGAGTGCCAAAGGTTTGTGATTTACTTGCAAATGCTCAAAAGTTCACCCAGTATCCTTCCTCCTCCCCAGTACCTCACTTTTCCAAAGGGATGAAGTTACAGTGAAGTGTATTCAAAAGATAGGATGGCAGCTCATCTGTTTATAAAATTTGTTTTATTCTGCATATTAAATAGCATGTAAGAAATAACTTATACAGGCAAATATATATAATGTACTCTGTAATAAATAGCAGATAAAAATAGATTTCTTTTAAAAACAATCCATGTTTTGAAAACCAGCAAAACAAAGATACTCAATAAATACATTTCTTTACCTCCTCCCGAGTCATTTATAAGTACATAATAAACCCCAATAATTTAACAGACTATGAAAAAGAATTGCTTCCTGAGCTCACATAAATAAGAAAAATGCGTAAATAGGAAATTACAGTCCAGTGATGCAGTAAAGATCGTTCTTCCCAGCCCTCGAGACATCCTTTGGGGCTGGTGAGCACCATTCCATGCCGTGCCATGCTGTGCCATTCCACCGGCAGGAACTAAGTGCATTGCTCCTGGAGGGCTGCACACCGCAGGTCGTTCAGCACTTGGAAGAGGTGAAGGATGGCTGAGGCCTCCAGGCAGCCGGCAGTCTCCTGTGGTGGGGAGAAGGGTTAGATTTGCACCGTAGAGGTGCAGCAGCCCCATGCAGCGTGGAGCTCGTAACACCCCAGAGCCCCCTGCCCTGACTTACTGTTTCCTTGGCCATCTGCAGCCTCTGCAGCCAGTGCCGCAGTTTCCCGGAGGGATGATAAGAAGTAGCCTCCATGGCCACCTACAATAGAGCAGCTGAGTAAGGACCAGAGCTGACCTGGGTGCATGGGGTGCATGGGCCGGGGGACTTGGAGGGACACTCACACAGCCTCGCAGGTCCTCCCGGGCCTGGGTGAGGAAGGCCAGGGGCTGCTGGCGCAGCTCCGCGAGCCTGGGCGCAGCTGGGAGCGCCAGCACAGTAATGGCCAGGTCCAGCTCAGCTTCCACCAGCATCACTCGGTCGGGCACCTGTGGGCAGCAGTGTCCTGGTTAGGCACCCTCACTGCCAGGGGTGGCAATGTGCTGGAGGATGGGGTCTCAAAGACCGCCCATGGTGCGGATGGACAGAGCTGGTACGGGGAGGTCCTGGCTGGAGGGGGCCGTACCCCCTTCTTACATCATTGCCGCGCTCTTACCGACAGCTCCGGCGTGCTCCACTTCCGATGGAAGAGCCTGGTGTTGCATTTCTGGCCCGATAGCAGCATGATGTCCTCCTGCAAGCACAAACCAAGCGGGACATCGAAAAAATGTCATCTGCACTTCTGGCGATGTTGTGCAAACCTGATCAGCCTTGAGGGGGTTGAAACCAGGTTGAAGTTTGGCTGGCAAGCTTCTTGTCCCCAAACTCCCTTGGGAAACATCCTCCTTGTGCCCAGACTGCTGCAGAAAGCATCCACCTTGTCAGTCAGGGTCTTGAATTTGGCATCCCCTCTGCCTTGCCCCCTCCAGCTCACAGCTCCCTGTTGCTAGCCCTACTCACAAAGTGCTCCTTCATCTTCTGCACGGCCTTCAGCTCATGGGGCACGAGGAACTGGTACTTGGAGAGGCTGCATCTCCTCTTCAGGGCATCCTGGGGGATGGCAGCCCCGAGGCTGGTCCCTACCACCAGCGCCAGCAGGAGGATGAAGCTGAGGGACAGCATCGTGCTGACGAGAGCCTGACAGTGAGCAGGTGATGATGGATGGGGTGAGGAGCTTGTGGAGCCAGAAGCCACAGAAGACACAGCACAGCGCTGCGGGCTGGATCCCTGTTTGTACTGCTGCAGGCAGTGAACTCAGCTGCGGGCAGTCGGGTTGGGGGCTGGTGCTGGGGAGCTGCTTCACCTCCCTTCTCTGCTTCATCTCCACGGCTTTTTATGCTGCCCCGACGGCACATTCAGGTGGCAGGAAAATCCACAGCCTGTCGGCGCTAGAAACTGGAAAGTGAAAGCGGCGGCTGAGGGAATCCCGCCTCTCCCTGCCGCCTCGACAGAGCAGCATGGCAGCACCTGGAGAGCAGGGGGATGCTCGGGCTGCCGCCAGCGCACTCTCCATGAAGCTGAACGGGGAGACGCTGCTGCCACGTCGAGTGGTGCAGAGGTGCTGGCGAGCTCAGGGAGCCCCGGCCGTGACCCAGCCTGGCACATGCTGAGAGCTATGGGAGTCCCCAGGCTCACAGCCCAGTGGGCACAGTGGGCTCGGAGGGTCCCGCTGCCTCCTGAGCAGCAGCAGCACTTCGTGCCTCAGTTTCCCCGTGGGAAGCGCAGCACAACAGCTGTGGCAGGGAGGGGACGGAAGCAACAGCCAGAGCGGGCACTGCACAATGCAGCTTGCGGGCACCTCTGGGTTATGCAGACAGATCAGGTTCATGACAAAAAGCAGGAAAACAGGTGAAAGCAGAAGTACTTCCACAGTGGTTTCCAGGTGGGATGTAGAGCTCTGCAAGGAGGCTGCTGGAAATGAGTGGGGCTGCCAGCGCCACCAGCGCTGGATGGGGTTTCCTCCCTGCTTAGCCTGGAAATGCAGCTTTCATGTGTGGACGTCTCTCTGCTGAGATCCAGAATGATGCCTCCACTCAGCAAAGTCCATCCTTCCTCAAGGTACCCTCCTGCGATGTGAAGCCGTCGCTGCTGGGCTTTCATTTTATGCATTCATCAAGCATTAAAGATTCAAAATTAGCGCAATGCCTGTATCCAGAAAGCAAACCTGCAGTGAGGCAGCAAGAGGCACAAACACACTTTGCAGTGCCTCACGTGGTGGCCGTAGAGGTCACTGCTCCGGAAGGACCCGAATTTTAATGCTCCTATTTGGAAACAAACTGCCAACCTCAAAGGGTCAAAGCAAATGCGCTAAGTCCTTACACAAGGCCATGGGAAGGTACAGCTATGGTGGGCACACCACCACAGAGGTGCTCTACTGAGGCGTGGAGTTGGGCTGGGACTTCTGGACATCGTCCAGTCCAACCGCTCCTCAAGCAGGGTCAGCCAGCACAGGCTGCCCAGGGCTGTGTCTGGTTTTGATGGAGACTCCACAGTTTCTCTGGGTAACCTGTGCCAGCGTCTCACCACCCTCACAGAAACAGTGTTTCTTCACGTTCACGTGGACTTCCATGTGTCTCAGGTTGTGCCCACTGTCTGCTCTCCCGTCAGTAGGCAACACCAAGAGCCCCAGAGCCTTCTCTTCCCAGGCTGAACAGTCCCAGCTCCCTCAGCCTTTCCTCACAGGGGAGATGCTCCAGACCCTTCATCATCCTCGTGGTCCATTACTGGACTCTCTCCAGTCTGTTCGTGTCTCTCTTGCACTGGTGAGCCCAGGACTGGACCCAGCACTCCAGGAGTGGCCTCACCAGGGCTGAGCAGAGGGGAAAGATCGCTTCCCTTGGTCTGCTTGGAACACTCCTCAAGCAGCCCCGGACATCATCCACCTTCTGTGCTACAAGGACACGCATCTGGCTCATGTTCAACCTGGCACCCACCAGGACCTCCAGGGCATTTCCTGTCGAGCTGCTTTCAATGTGGGCAGTCACCAGCACAGCCTGGACTTTGTCTTTCTCCTTGCTGAGCTTCATGACATTCCCATCAGGGTTTCTTCCACAGCATGTCACAGACATATTGCTGCTGGACCAGGCTCCCACACCAGCCTCTTCTGCTATAGAGCCTGAGCCCCAGCCAGGGTTCAGTGCCCTCCAGTCAGCAAGACCATGGCACTGTCTTCAACCTCTGCCTCCCGCCAGAAATGAACAGGTTTATAAGACTAAGATTTATTCACTGCAATGAGTTCACAATCAATACAACTATGAAATAAAAGCCCAAACAGCAAAATTAACCATCACCTCCGTCACCGAGGTAAGGTACAGCTCAGCTGGGATGGAATCCCAGACTGGTTTGAGCTGGAAGGAACCTTAAAGCTCATCCAGTTCCAACCTTTGCAGGGGGCAGGGACACATTCCACAAGACCAGGTTGCCCCAAGCCCCTGTGTCCAACCTGGCCTTGAACACTGCCAGGGATGGGGCAGCCACAGCTTCTCTAGGCTAATAGGTGGCACCTCATCAGAAAATCCCAATGGATGTAAAAATAAATGTGGCCCCAGGGAGAAAGGGGAGGAAGCAGGTCCAGGCCCTGCCTGGAACTCTTCAGGTCTCAGTGGAGAAGCAGGAGAGTGATGGTGGCTCAGGGTCTCACATGGTGGAGGCCAGCCAGATCATAGGGCAGTTTCTGTGGGGTGTTTCTTCCTCCAAACCAAGGTATGGGCCAGGCCGGGGTCTTTTGGCATCTCCAGCAGCCACCAGTGGGACTGGAGCAAGGTCCACAGCACCCAGAGAGTGACGTCCCACACCAAGGTGATGTCCAGTGCCTGCTGTGCTGGGATGGCCTCATCTGCACCCTCAGGACCCAGAGCAGGGCTGGAAGACGGCCCTGGCATGCACACAGACCCACTACAAACCACTGCCACAGGCCCCTGCCAAGGACAGGGCTGGGGATACTCAGGTCGCCCGTCAAGTCCCAGAGCAGCATCACATCCTTGTGGGACCCAGTTTGGCTTCTCTTTCCCACCACTGTGGCTTTTAGCTCTCGAGCGTCATTTCTGGTTGGAGAAGTAAACAAAACCTCATGTCTTCATGCAGGCACAAGGAGATCCAGAGGAATGAAGGAAAAGCGAAAGCTGAGCAGTGAAACTGGGGCCACAAGCACAGTTCCAGCACTCAGGCTGGCTGCGATGAAAGGCTAAAGATCATAGAATCGTACCATCACAGACCGGTTTGGGTTGGAAGGGACATTATAGCTAATCCCCATCCAACCTGGCCTTGAACACTGTCAGGGGTGGGCAGACACAGCTTCTCTGGGCACCCTGTGCCAGTACCTCATCAAGGTCTCCTAGGCACCTTGCTTGGATGCACATGTTCCACTTGCCCCCAGATGTAGCTGAGCAGCAGCGAGGGATTGTCACTAGTGGGACGCGGTCTCGCTATGCTGGGCATCGGCACCCCGGCAAACACCTCACACAGCAGTGCCATGCTCCAGCACACCCCAGTCCCAGCCCCACCACCAAAGCCTGGCTGTATTGGGCACGGCTCTCGCAGAGGTGCTTGTGTCAGCTCCTGCCATGACTGCACAGGGATCCCAAAGCCAGCACGAGCTGGGGACACTATGCTGTGCCCTATGGGGTCTGCAGGGTGGTGGGGATCTGCCGCAGACATCGCTCCAGCCCTGGTGGTTCCCAGCCCCACCTGCAGGCAGTGCTGTGCTGGGAGAGGGGTAGTGATGGAGCTCCCTCCTCAATGCACACAGCCCAGCACAGCCACTGGAATGCCTCAGACAAGAAATTCCGGTATATGGGAAGTTCTGGGTGCAAGAAGGAAAGTGAAACCGGGCACGGCCGCAGGCAGGGGAGGCAACTGCCTGTGACTCATCCGCTGATGCGTGTTGCCAACATGGAAAAGCCTTGGCCACAAGTCACGCTGCGGGAGCAGGTGAGGGGGAGCCCAGATCGCTCCTTCCTGAGCCATTTTGGAGATTGTCTGGGATGAACTGTCTCCTGCCAAAGTTGCCAGGCTTGGAGGAGAGAAAGAAGCAAAAAACACTGTCCCCAAAAGCCAGCTTAAAAAAACACTCCCCCTGGGAGACGCGCAGGAGCCCATGGCCACGTGCTGTGGCAGGGGAGGTACATCGGGTGGCCTCCACTTGGCACCATCTCCGAACTGTACCCACCAGCCCAGTGGGTCAGTGTCACCAAAGTGCTGCTGGCCCCACTGTGCACCCCAGAACCCTTCACCACCTCTTGGTGCCGTGGGACTGGCTTGTGCCACACGGTGTGTCCCATGCTGGTGATGCAATCCCTGGTGTTACAGCACTGCCAGTCACCTCCTGCATCACCCTGGAGCTGTGCTGAGCATCGCACAGCGCTGGGGAGGGAAGGGCTGGTAGCTCCAGAGTTACTCAGTGAGGACACTGGAAAGAGAGAAAAACCTGTTCAATTTAAAGATAAAAACCCCAAACAACACTTTGTCCCCAGAGCCTTTGTGCTGGCACCGGAGGCACAAGGGGTGTCCCTGGGCTATGGGAATTCACCTCACCAGGACAGAGCTGGGGCTCCCTACAGGCATCCCCACAGCCGTGTCCTGATCAGGAAGAGACCTCTAGTGCGTCCTGAGCAGAAAACAAGCCACCAGCACCATCCTCACTCAGCAAGGGAGGTTTCATTCTGCTGCTCGCCCAAGCCCACAGGGACCAGCCTCGCATCAGTGATGGTCTTTCTTCCCCTGGCTGTCCTCCTGGGACCCACCACCCTCCAGAGAGGCACCAAGCAGGGTCAAAGCCTTTGCTCCCCACCCTGGAAAAGCTTAGCCAGCATCCGGTGACCCCAGTGGTGATATACTCAGGGTCAGGCACCCTTAGCCAGGGCGAGGAGGCTCAAGACTCAGCAGCCATGGCAGGACCATACATGAGAGCCCCAGAACCCCACTGAAACACCTTCAGCCCCACAAACCTCCTCCGGGAGCACTCTCCAAGGGAGGGAGCAGAGGCATCAGTTCTGCCTTTCTTACCCATGCACCAAGGTGTAACCAAGAGAGGCCACAACCCTCCCCATGGCATCAGGGCAGCATTCCTGCCAAGTGCAGGAATTACAGGAAAGGGAAGATCCCAGCAGAGGCTGTGACCGGACTGAAAATCCCCAAAAGGCAAACAGGAGGAAACCTGTGCCATGCTGTGCCCAGCATTGAACCCTGTTGCCTCTATCTGCCCCACCACAAAACACAGCCTCTAATCTTCCCTTTGAACAATAGTGGGCTGTTGGCCCTCTGGCAACAAGCCCAAAAAGGTTCCTGAGTGTACTGTGGGCAAGAAACCTCCTGAGGCCTGAAGCAGCAATGCTGGGCAATCCTGGGGCAGAGAAGCTGCTGCTACACCCGCACCAGCCAGCAAAGCACCAGGGATGGTCACACAGTGGGTGAGAACAGCCCCTTTCCAGCTTGGCCTTATTGGGCAGCACACAGCTCCCAGCTTAGCCCAGGCAGGGGAAGCGCAAACAGCCTTTTCTACCTAAAGCCCACCTGTCCCATGGAACAAGAGGCCACACAGGGCCTAGGAAAGCAATGTAACCATAAAGTGCCGTTATTCCCATGCCAGCAGGTGCTCTACAGCCTCTCTTACAAAAGAGGAACCACAGCAACTTGT